AGCAAACAGTCGACCCAGTCTACGCCCCTTCCCCTTCACCTTCCCAGTTTGTTGGTCCTGTATCAAACAACCATTAGAGGAAAACAAAACAGTATTACCATCTTCCACAAGTTGACCAACAGAAATCAAATTAGTTGTTAATTTGGGCACAAATAAGGTCTTGGGTAGGTGAAAGTAAGATGATTTAGAGGTAGATAGGTGTAAATCATCACAACCAAGTATATCTAGTTTTTCACCATTTGTAGTGATAATGTGTCTATTGGAAACATGGGGTTTAGGAGACTGACCAACGGATGCCCCCGTCATGTGATTAGAGGCTCTAGAGTCTATAATCCATACGTGGTTTGAGGAAGGACAAAAGGTAGAAGACTTATCGGACAGGCCAATAGCTGAGAAAGCGGAAGAGTCGAGGACATGAGCTTCCGAATCTGATCTTTAGAAATACCACCAGAAGAGTTATTCTGTGAAGTCACTGATGTAATGGTAGATGAAGTATCTGAATTCTCCATGGTTGTCTGATAGGCTTTGTAAGACCCTTTCTTCTGATTAGATCCATTTTCCTTTGGTGGCCGAGTTGGACATTCTGTAATGGTATGCCCTTGTTGTTTGCAATACGTGCATATGTTCTTCTTACAATGTGAGACAACATGTCCGAACTCCTTGCATTCATAGCATTGAACTCGGGAGAAATCCTTCTTTTCTTTTGATTTGGTTGCCAAGAAAACAACATCAATATTGGTGTCTTTCCTCCCATCAAGAGTGGTCTGTGTAGCAAGTCTAGTTTTAGCTCTCAGAATTTCCCCAAGAATGGTATCTAAATCAGGAAGAGTCCCTTGGCTTAGGATATTAGACCTGACAACTTCAAACTCAGGTCTGAGATGCATTAAGGAATACATAACCTTCCTTCTATCAAAGTGTTCCTTCATATACCTCACACAACAGTCCAATGGATCTTTTCCCATGTGTACTAATTCATATTCTGTCCAGAGGTTAATAAACCCTGCATAGTCCTCCTGGACCTTTCTCTCTCCCTGATAATATGAGAAGATATTGACTGCTATTTGGTATTGCCTAGAGGTGTTTGGTTGCTGATATACCTTTTCAAGATATTCATACATCTCATAAGTTGTTCTATAACCTCGCATAGGAATGGCAATGTCAACCTCAATAGATCCGAGGATCCAAGATGCAATCTTTGCATTGTCAATTTTCCATTGATTTAAGGCCTTAACATCTGAGTCATTAGGTTTAGTTACAGTCCCGTCTAAGAAGCCCCAAAGGCTCTTTGCCTCAACATGAAATTGGAAGTTAAACTTCCACAAGGCATAGTTCGATCCATTGAACTTAACAGGGAAGGACATCTACTCTTTCTGAAGCCATTATCAAACAGAAAAATACTGATTTCCAAGACTGATATCAGAAACTGAAGAAGAGATGATAATAGAGAGGTACCTTTCGATCAGATGTCCAGAAAAGGAAACTGTCACAGTATGCTGAACCAAGAGAAGGATAAAGCCCTTCTTAAACCAAACCGATTTCAACCTGGCTGAAGAGGATCACAAGAACTCCTTTGGGCGACACTAGATCTAGGGTTTCAAGTAGATCTGATGTCTCCAAGTGCAGATTGAAGAGAAAAGATGAAGCTGATGGCGCAGACTTCCCGATTTCAGATCTGTCAAGGTCTGATCGAAACAGCCTTGAAAAGAAAAATCTAGGGCACAAAAGGGTTCCCAAGTATTGTTAGGAAGACCCCTGAATGCCAAAGAAAACAAGAGACAAGGAGGAGAAGAAGAACAGTCCTTGAGAATAGAAGACTGTTTAGAACAGATGCAGAAATCAAAAGAAAACAGCAGAAATCCTTCTTCTAAGGAAGAGAAGATGAAGAAGAAGATGGCGGCAATAAGGGTTCAGAGGAAGAGAGTTTCGAACCTAAATCTCTCCTCTTACCCCTTAACACTATTTTATTAAGTTAAACTTTAATAATTTACAAAGAGGCCCTTAGTTGGGCAAGAAAATAAAAGAACATAACATAGAAAGAATAGGCCCAGAATAAGGCCCATTACAGTAAAGAGCATAAAAAATAAGAAAGGATAAACAGCCTATGGGCCATTCGGCCCATCTTCTCTACAAGAGGTAAGCTCAGTAGTTCAGATTGTGACCTGCTTTGATACCATGTCAGAGGCTGGTCTAGGTTTTGTAAAACAGAGGAGAAAAAGATGGCAGCAAGTTTGTGGGTGTGTCCAATGTGGAGCTCGACACCCTAGAAGAGAACTTTATATTAAAAAAATTGTCCTTAGAGTACAAGAAAGGATAGTTTACAAGAAGAAAATAAAATACAACAAGATTTAAATTACAGAAATAGCCCTCAGCTAGCTCTCTTTATCTCTACAGGAAGGGGATTCAAATAATGCTCTAAAGGAAGGTTTGGTGAAATCAGGAGGAAAAAAAAACTAGTAGTGAGTATTAGAAAGATTCTGGAGTTGTTATGGATGAAAGTGTAGAAAATGAGATGGAAGATCAGGGGGTAAGCAAGGGGGTGAGATCGAATGTAGTAAAAGTAGAAATGGTGGCTAAGAAGAAAAGAATTTAATAGGATCATGTTCAAKGGTTTTTAGAAGAAAGAGAAAGTATAAAACAAGACCAATGTAGGAGAATGGCAAGAATGAAGCTATAGAAAAGGAGGAAGGAGAGGACGATGATTCAAGAGAAGAAGAGATTATAGTGGATGAAACCCATGTAATTGAAAGGTCAGTTGATTTGGAAAAGGTAGTAAACACTGAGGTCAAAGTGAGCAAGTCATTGGGATTATTTTTCTTAGGAGAGGAATTCACTAGGAAGACAGACATACAAAGAATTGAAAGAGAAATATGCAATGCCTTTGAGGAAACCTGCAGACCTGAAGGAAGTATTTCAAGGTTTGAAGACATTCATAGTGGTCAGAGATCAGCTGGACTTGTAGAGGCTGTCAATGAAAAGGGTGAAGATTTGGGTGCAGGTTAGTTTTTTGAGAACATGGTTTTGGAATTGGAAAGGATTAATGAAGAGTCTAAGGATCTAAAGGATCTCAGGAAGGCTACTCTTGCAGTAAGAAGATTCAGAAGTCAAATAAAGCATCAAAGTGTCTTGGTGTCAAATGTTTCTGTTAGATTAAAAGGGGGTCTATTTGGGATTGGGCCAAACAAGAAGGTGATGAAATGAAGGAAAGAAAGTCTTAAAGAAGAAGGAGAGAGACCTTGTTCTGGATTGTTCTTATTGGGTTGCTAGATAGTTGGCATCTTTTGGGGTTTTGTTTTCTTAGTTTTTTTTTCTAAGTGGGGTTGATTTTTGTTTGAGCTTGTTGTTTGGAAGATTGATATTTTTGGGAGTCCGGCTGCTTGGGTTTGGTTGTTTGTTTGGCTATTTTTCATTGTTGGAGAGTTTGGTTTCTGGTGTTTTTTCTTGGTTGGTTTTTGGTTTGGAGGTGTGGGTGGAAGTTGGAGTTTTTTCTTTTGTCTCTTGGGTGACTTCTGGTCACCTTCCTTGTAGTATTCCTTTTTTAACAAATTTTATTTTATTACCCAAAAAATATCTAAATAGATTCTGTTAGAGAATAAAACCTATTCAAGGACCTCACTTAACAGCTTAAGCTTTTAGGTCGAATGGTTCTTTGAGAGATCACACCCTTTCGTGATCATTCTTCTGTCCTCTTCTTCTAATCTTATCCAGAATCTGCACCGAACTACCAGGTCATGATAAAGAAGTGATCATAGAAAACATTTCTATTTGCATGGCATATTGGATGAAAGCATTGGTTGCCTTCAAAAACTTCTGTACAGGTGACATTATTGGGAACTGGCTGAATGTTGTGAGTTCTTCCTTAGAAAGAGCACTGTTAATCCAAACCTGCTTCCTACCTACCTCATATGCTATTAAAGAACTTTGATGGATGTAGTTTGGGGAATCCAGGTGCTTCAGGTATTGAGGGAGTTCTTAGAAATGGAAATATAGATAGCTTTGTACTTGGGTCCCATAAACTATGGAAACTTTAATGGAGCAGAACCCTTAACTGTTTTGCATGGGTTGAGGCTGGTGAAAGCCCTCCAAAACAAACCTGATCATGGAGGGGGATTCAAAAACAGTAGGCTGGCTGATGAAAAATAGTACCAGTTCTTGGTTATTTTAAAAGAAAAATTAGACTGCTGGTTGTGGGGCTAAATATATGATACAATTGGATCCCTAGATCAGCAAATGCTTTGGCTGATGATATGAAAAGGAGTTCATAGGAACCAAGTGTATTGTGGGGTGGTGATTTCCTAATTTGTAAAAGAAAATATGGGTGGCTAGTGGGATTTGGCCTAAAATGGGTTGTTGGGCACTTCACTTGTAGATAATGTTCTTTCTCCATTATCTAATAAAATCCGACTGTTTCCAATAGAAAATCTGAAATTTTAGGTTGAAATGAATGTCTTCCAAGGATATTGGAGATTCCTTTGGCAGCAAGGTTGTAGATGCTGGTGGATTGATGCGATGTTTAGGGATTCTTTTTATGTGTTTAAAAACAGCAATTATCCAATTATTTTAATTAGCAACTGTTTCTCTATAGATATTTAAGAATTGAATTTAGCTATGTAAAAGGTCCCAATTTATGATAACTTTGATCATGAAATTGTTTGATTCTTTTTTGAGACTAATATCTTCGAGCAAGTTCTTTTTCCTCCATACTGTTATTGGAAGCATTATCTTGTCTAAGATATTAATTTAATTTTCAAAGGGAATTTTCCTCCTAAATGTAATCATCCATTCATTCATGCAACTATATGTTGATGTAAAAGTGAAAATAGTGGTTTAAGTACAAGTCCCTGGAGGACTAAAAAGATATTAATAACAAGGTATCCCTTGCCTAACTATTGAGGCCCTTAGTACATCATAGAATAAATGTCTAATCTTATAACATGATACAATTTTCTTGGGAACATCCAAAATTTCTGCTATACTATCTTGCAAATTTTGGTTTGTTGTAGGAAACATTGCACAAGCATAAAGAACATAATAAAGACGGATGTGAGTCATATGATGCTCTGGAGGCTGCACCTTATACCTCCGATGAAAAAGAAAAGCAAGAAACAGAACAAAGAATCCCACCTTCTAAAGAGAGCCTCTTAAGGAATTGGCCCTTAATGTCTTCTATTATTGTATACTGTGTGTTCTCACTTCATGATATGGCCTACACGGAGGTAATATTTCTTGTTTAGAGTTGTTAATTGTGAATGGTTTTATTCACTTTTTAATGTCTTAGTTACTGCTTATTCAATGAATTCATCATATTAATATCTAGTTACATCCATACATGATTCATATATATTTTTCTACAATGAGAACGTGCCTATTCAATATATAGAACATTACATGGTTGTTTCAGATTTTTTTGATGCAGATTAAGGGCCTGTTCGTTTCCTCTTAACTCTTACCTCTTAAGAGGAATCTTACAACTTTAAGAGGAAAATGGGTGTTCGTTTCCTCTTATCTCTTATTTCTTAAAGAGGAATCTTACAACTTTTGTTTTCCAATGATACCCCCAAAACATAAACAAAAATTCTCATATATAAGGTTAAAATGGACATTTGACAGTTTTCAGAATTCAGAACAACATTCTATGCATTCAGAGTTCAGAGGAAAGAAAAGTTCACCAATACCAATATACCTCTTAATGTAATTATTGCACTTCCAGACGTCAGATGTCAGAGCAAAGAAACATGTGTGTTTCTTTTCAAAGTATATATATCATTGTGAAGTAAGATTGTTATGGCCCGCATTTCCATATGGTATGTCAAATTGAAGTTAGATTGCTGCCTATATGCTTGATTTTAGGGATTTACCTTTTCTCCCTTGCATATTCGCCAGCACTTCTTGTTAATTCCAAACTCATACTCTTGCTCTTTTAAAATTTATGAATAAATAAATATAATAGTCTAGCCATTCCAGTATGCATGATCTAATGTTATTATCTTTCGCTGAATACTGGGAAGTTAAGCAGTTTGATATGGTGCCATATGGTTGGTATGTTACATAGTACATGGTGCTGTGCATGATGATATCTTAGACTCTGAAATGCAGACATGTCTGATATAAGGCAGGAAGTCTTATGGGATAATAGTGTTTTACATAGCTTTAGGAGATGGTTGTAGCTACATAAGAATTGGAATTTGATCTATAAAGGTCTCTAGGTCAGATTCAACAATTTGTTAGTTTCTTATAAAATTTTTCAGAAACTTGGAATATTGAGATGTATGGGTAGTTTGGGCACAAAAGAATGAAAATATTCCTTTGAAAAAAAAAACAAAATTCTGAAAATTAGGGATTTTGGTTGGATTTTTGGATTTAAATTTGGTAAGGTGAATTATATTGGAGTATAATGAGGGAGGTGGATTGGAATATTGGACTACAGGAATTTTTCCTATGTGGGAAGATTCCAAGTAAGGTACAAAAGGAAAAGACTAAGTTTTCTAAAACAAAAAGCTACTTTATACTTTTAGAGATAAACAAATAAAATTTATTAAATATTTGAATTCTCTAAAATCTAAGAAGCTTAAATATCTACAAATGCAGTATTTTGGAGAGAAGTAATTAATGATTAATTAAAATCAATATTAGCAAATCATATTTGTTAACTTGTTGACCTACCTCTAGGTTGTAAAACAATATGTTGTAAGTGGGTATTCAAAAGGAAATTAAAAATACATGGGTCCATTGATAAGTTTAAGACTAGATTAGTAGCTAAAGGATACAAACAAAAAGGAAGGAATAGATTATTTTGATAGATATTGCCTTGTTTCCAAATAGCTATTATTAGAGTTTTAATTGCACTAGCCTCAATATACAGTTTGGTACTTCACCAAACAGATGTAACTTGGGATAGCTTTCTAGAGCTCTTGTGAAAAATTTGGAAATGCACATGGCGTAAACGTGCAAAACCATTAGAACCTCTAGTTTTCTGAATTGTTGTGTGGAGGGCAGTTGCAACTGATTTACATCCAAGGAATCTAGTTTAAGAAGCTTGCTTCACTGGGTTTCTGTAGGCCCTGTGCTATCTTTCCAAGTTTGATTTAAGTCCAAAAGACGTAAGCACAAATGCACTTCAGTTCTCTGTTATCTCAGAGCTTTTATTAATTTTTTGAATTGTGGAGGATTGTTAAGAAGTTTAAATTTTTAATTGAATTTTGGTGAGTTCTAACATTTAATAAGTCTTATTTGTTTGTCTCTAAAAGTATAACCTTTTCCTGTGAAAGTTTTATTTTCTTTTCTTTTGTACCTCTCTTGGAATCTGCCCACATGAGAAAGATTCATCTTTTTCCTTTTTTTCTTTTCTTAAAAAGTTAGTTTTGTCTTGGGCTAGTGGTGAGAGGCTGGAAGGGATATCATACACGCATGCAAGGGCTGGGCCAACTTGGTTTAGTGGGAGTGGTTATGAGTTGCGAGATTCTTGTCATTTGTTGTGAGTGGTTTTGTTGTAATTGTCTAATCCGCTGGAGTCTATTTATGTCTCTTACTTGAGAGGACTCCAACTGATCTATCGAACAGAAATGCAGAACACCACTCCCACTCCAACTACATCTTGCTTGCTTTTGTTGTATCCTAGAGTTTGGATGTCATTTGCCCAGGCATTATAGATATTATCCAAATAGCGAATTATTACATTTGCTACAACTACTTTGTTTCACATTGATACTGCTGTTTCACACCTATGTTTGTTTTTCACCTCCATACTGGTTTGGATTTGTGATATTGTGGTTTCTTGGGCATTTTGGATAAGATTTGTTTTGGATTTAATTGTTTAAATCACGTATTTCCCCCTTATATTTCTCTAACAGCTTGGTCAAAGCATTATATCTTTATATTTAGGTAAAGTATGTACTTGACTTAAGGAGATAGGGAAGTTAAAGATATAGCTTGTCGAATGTTGTTACATTTCTCTCTCTCTATGACCAGCTAAACATTTCTATTGTATTTAGTGTTATCAGCCAGTATATGCATGTGAGGGTGGGCCTTGGTGCAACGGTTGGGTTGCTCCATTGCAACTTGCGTGACCAGGGCTCAAATCTTGAAATAGCCTCTTTGTATGTGCGGAGGTAAGGCTGCATACATCTGTCCCTCCCCAGGCCCTGCATTGGTGGGAGCCTCATGCACTGGGCTGCCCTTTTTTTAGCCAGTATATGTATGCCCTTAGGACAATCCATCTTGCTGCCATAGAAAGAATATTGGCTTACCTGAAGATGCATCCTGGTAGGGGCGTTTTGATTGCCAATCATGGGCATGTGAAAGTTGTATTTGCACTTACAGACACAAACTGGGCTGGTCTATTGATGATAGCGATAAACTTTTGGGGTTTTTTTTGGTAGTAAATAAAAAAGTTATTAATAAAAAGAAGAGTTAAAACTGATTTGGTGATGATAAATCACCAGAAAAGAGAACCACCAACTCATATAACTGATTTGGTGATAAACTTTTGGGTGTTGTGCTTTAGTTGGTGGTAGACTAGTAGTTTGGTGTCTTAGAGGATGAAGTAGATGATTGTAGACGTGTAGCTTGTTCTAGTGCAGCAGCAGAGTTTAGAGTCATGGCTCAAGGTGTTTTTGAGATTTTGTGGCTATGGTCTCTCTTGGGAAGGCTTGATGTTACTTCGGAGAAACCATTGATGCTATATTGTGATAATTAGATTGCTCTAATTCTCACAATCTCATACATCATGATAGAACTAAACATATTGAGGCGGATAGACACTTCATGAGAGAATATCTTTAGGATAAGTTTTTCTTTTCTTTGTTACTTCTAAGATGTAGTTGGCTGATGTGTTCACAAAAGTGGTTCTGATGTAAAAACTAGAAACTGACTTGGGCAAGTTGTGTATGGTTGGTGATGAAATCTATTCTATATGCCACAGAAGGGCATTTTTGTCTTTTCCTTTTTTTTCCGTCTTGGTCGCCCTAACATATAAATAACAATGCTGGCGCTGCCAGTAGTGATTGTTTTTTTGGCTCTCACGTCTTTCTCCTTCTTCTTCTTCTTCTTCTTCTTCTTCTTCTTGCTGAAAACATGATATCAGAGCAGGTCAGTGCTCTGTAAAATCTCCTCAACTGCATCGGCTGATTGTTCTGTGATTTCTGGACTGAGAACAAAGGAAGCATACTGGTGTTCTGGACCTGAGAACTGTTTGGGTGCATCTCCTTCGTCTGTTCTGGGCTAAAACTCGACTGAAGTGATTCCAGGAGTTGTTGACGATTGGCTGAATCTTCCTAAGAGGTCGGCTGTTCTTTTTTTTCTTTGTTGTTCCCTACTGTGTTACTGGAAAACCCAGAATTCTCTCGGACTGATCAGGGACACTTTGTAAACTTTTGTTTTGGTTCTTGGTGCTGATACCAAGAACAAGTTAAGGTTCTTTTGCCTTGACCGAATGATATAAGGTGGGTTTAATCCCTTTGGGGGTCGGATGATCCAGAAAACCCTTTTTTTCTCGTGAAGAAATCTGTAGGTCATGAGTGACCTGGTTCGGATGCTGGTACAGCAGTTGCTTACTGATGTTTGTGGCTAATATTAGCCTTGGGGGATCTGTTACACCTGTGAGAGTGTTCAGGTGACCAGCATCGCAGCAGAAGCTGGTTTTTTTATTGTTATTTACTCAGAGTGAGGGCTGTGTCTTCTCTTGTGTGTGTGTATAGACTGAAATCATGAACGCTGAAGAGTCTGCAACTTCGGGAACCACCATGAATCACAGTGGAATGAGTAGTGGTTATGACTCCATGAATTTCCCAATGACTATCACCTCGTTGGATGGTAGGAATTACCTGGCTTGGTCTAAGGAGATGCGGCTGTATATCACAGCCAGGGGTAAGGCAGGATATATTAATGGGAAAATAAAGGAACCTAGGGCTGGTACTGCAGAGTACGATAAGTGGGACCAGAAAATTGCATGATTATGTCCTGACTTTTGACATCCATGTTACCATCTGTCAAACAGAATTTTATGTGGGCCGAGACAACAAAACATATATGGGACCAAGCACAAGCAACTTACTCAGAGCAGAGGCATTATGCTAGAATTTACCAGCTACAAGCGGAATCTTCGACATGTAAGCAGGGAGAAAGGAACCTATCGACATATTATTCTGCCCTCACTTCAGTTTGGAAAGATCTCGACTATTACCAGAACATTGAGTGGGAAAGTGAAAAGGATGCTAAA